TCCTCTTCCTCTTCTCTTCTCTATTCTTCTCTTCTATTCTATCATCTTCCTCTTCTCTATTCTATTCTCTTCTACTATTCTATCCTCTATTCTTCAATACTACTCTATCCTCTTCTATTCTCTATTATTCTTTTCTACTATTCTATCTCTTCCTCTTCTATTCTCTATTCTTCCCTACTATTCCATCCTCTTCCTCTTCTACTCTACTCTACTCTACTCTACTCTACTCTTATTTCTTTGACTGGCCCCAAATAAAGAATGGCTATCCTAATGAGTTTTTGTGCAGAAATGATACCAAATACTCTGTAGAAAAATAGTAGCAGAAATAAAGGCAAAAAGGCGTCTCTGCTATGCTAGATTTCTAAGCTTTGGCCTTTGCAGCCTGCTAGTTTTCGAGAAGTCTAGTCCGAGGGTCTCTAATATTTTCTCTCTTCCCACCCACCCCGTTTTCTCTTCTTGCCTGAATTGATGATTGGACTTATGGGGAGAAAAAAAACCTGAAGGCTGGATGGCCACCAAAGTAGGAAGCAGAAGGAGAATGTAGACTTGGAAGACTCAACCAGTTTACAACTGGTCACCGTTATGGACCAATTGAAAACCCAACTGCAATATCGAAGCCCAGAAATTGGTTGGAGGAGATCTGAAGTCCCTTCTCCAAGAGTTGCCAATCAGTTCACCAGATCCCAATTATCAGGGTTTTTTTGTTTGTTTTTTGCAAGATGGATGATTCTCAAGACAACATGACTTACGGAGAAGGAAGAAAGGAAGTCAAAATGAAAAGAGACAAGAGGATGGCGGTGAGTGATTCTACTTACTTCAAGGTTTCCTCTGGCCTTTTTTAAAACATTGTGTGTTAACGCCACTGCAAAGAGAAAGAGAGTTAGTTTGGCTTGAGATATGTCTGGAATGGCATAGGACCTCCTGCTTGAGCAGGAAGTTGGGCTAGATGACCTCCAAGGTCCCTTCCAACTCTGTTATTCATCAATTCTGTCAAAGTACTCCAGACACGTCTCTGTTGTGGTTAGTTGGCAGCTGGTGTGGATGGCTGAGGAGAGCGAGGACTCAGATGAGGGGCCAGGACCATTAGGGAGTGGACTGCTGCCTTCAGAGATTGTGGGGGCTGGCAGCAGCGATGAGGAGGTTCCCGAGGAGCCTGTGCCAAGTGCGCGAGCACGCAGGATTGCTCGCAGGAAAGAGCAGCTGCAGCAGCACGGGTGACTCGGGAGTAAGGCTGCAAGGTAATGGCCCCTCCTTCAAGAAGATAAAAGCCAGCTGTGAAGCGAACGTTCTCTGCAGGAAGCAAAGACGTTTTGAAACTCAGCCTCGTGGACATTACAGTTACTTAAGTTGGCATTTGAAGACTCTTGTGTTGTGCAATATTTCTTCTCTGTGATTCTTGGCAGTCTCGTACAGTTTTGGAAAAGTTTGTGCTTATCAAAGTTAATTAGTTTGCAGCAGCCTTTTAAACGGGGATTCGTAAGACTCATTAAAAGGTTTCTGTTCCCTTTGGTTCGTGTTTGTCTTATTGGAAAAGGGTTTGGGTCAGAACAGTCTCAGAGTCCCAACTGGACATTATTCTCAAGAGATGTTCACACTAAGCATCCCTTAAAGGTAAAGTTTCCCCTCGCACATGCATGCTAGTCATTTCTGGCTCTAGGGGGCGGTGCTCATCTGTTACAAAACCAAAGAGCCAGCACTGTCCGAAGACGTCTCCGTGGTCATGTGGCTGGCAGGACTAAATGCCGAAGGCGCATGGAACGCTGTTCCCTTCCCACCAAAGGTACTTGCTATTTTTCTACTTGCATTTTGCATTTTCTGCTAGGTTGGCAGAAGCTGGGACAAAGAACAGGAGCTCACTCCGTGACGCGGCACTAAGGGATCGAACCGCCAAACCGCCAACCTTTCTAATCGGCAAGCTCAGCCTCTTAGCCACTGAGCCACCTCATCCCTTATGGCTAATCAAGTTCCTACTTGCTTCCCCAACTGAGATCCAGCTTGCTACTTGGAGCCGGGGAGAAAAAATGTAGGGGAATGGCACTGGGTCAGACCAGGGATTCTGAGGTCACTGTGAAGCTCAGAAGCAGGACAAAGAGCAGAGAAGATGGAAGACCTCCCCCCCCCCCCCAACTCACACTGATCTATGATGACCCTCTCCATGTTTTCCTTGAGTTGGTTGGTGGAATACAAGCGCCTGGCCATACTGTAGAGCTTCTTCTCCTGTTCGGCCACTTTCCGGCGGAGCTTGTAGACCTCAGACTTCAGACTTTCATCCTGCAGAGCAAGGAGGGGAAGGTTAGCTTTCCAAGTGTGGGCTTGGCTAGACACAACTATGGCTGGAGATGACAATGCTTCTTCTCAAGAAGGTGTCCTTCTTCTTGTTCGCTTGTGAGGTTCCTCAGCTTCCGCCTGGGGCAGGGGTCAGCCACAAAGATCCTAACCGGAAGCCACCCCGCCGTTCAATTCTGGAGCCGACCGGAAGTCCGGTTCCCGCACCATAGAGTCTCCTCCTAGTGCGGTGCCCTTTTCCCTCTATCTGCCCTAACCAAAAGCCCTATCAATTGCTCAGGGAGCCACAGCAGAGGGATGAAAGAGCCACTTGCGGCTCTAGAGCTGCGGGTTGCTGACTCCCTGGCCTGGGAGCTCGGCTTGGTAGGAACCCACCTGCATTAAGATGCTGCAGGAGCTGTATTCTATCCGTACATCCCTTTGGGTAGCCGAAGGAAAGGGAATCAAAGATTTCAGAGTCTCCGGTTTCGTTCAGTCAACTATTCTCCAGCATTTGATATCCTGACTCAGTCAAGAAATTCCCTAAGCATGTTAAGAAAGCAACCTGCCACTTCTACTCCCACAAGAGTTGCTGTTCTGATCCGGCTCCAAAACACGACAAACCCTCTGTAAGTTACCTAATTGTTTCCTTTATTAGGAGCGCCAGCAGCCCCAGGAAAAAGTCGCTTTCTCACACACACCGCAGGCTAACGAGTCTGTCCAGCAGGGAGATGAATACCTGTCTGCCACATCTATTCATCTCTGCCCCCTGCCTTTTAACCCCTAGCTAGGGTGGGGCCTCGCTAGCAGCGGTGGCTCTTCCGTCCCGAGGGCCAGACCATAGATTTCCACTGCTCTCCTCTCCTCTGCCTTCTGCGGATCCACGCGTCGGGCACTTGAATCCAACTCTCAGATACCGGTTTTCCCAGATGTGGCAATATGACAGCTCTAATAAATTGGAACTTTGAAGAAATGCTTGGTTTGGAATTGGAACACTGACCGTACCCGTCTCTCCCGCTTTTGGGATGCTTGAAACGCCTCCCTCCCTCCTTTCTACCCGCCGGGAGCCTAACCTGAAGTGAGTAAGCGGCAGCATGGACCACTTTCATTGGCAAGGAGACCCTCCAGAGGAGGTTCAAGAGGCGGGCAGCTTCTTCCAGGTTCTGCTGGACCGCCTTGAAGGTGGTAGACAAACTGCTCAGAGGAACCTGGAGAAGGGAAAAAAACAATGAGAAGATGAGAAAAATTTTATCCTGGGGGGGTTGGGGGGGTGGGGGGGGGGAGGAAGGAAAGTCAGCTTGAATTAATGGCCCAAATCCAATTTGCTACAGTTCGGGAGGGTTGATGAGCGTGAATATTGCGAGTCAGGCAAAACTAATTTATTCAGTTAAAAAGGTAGCAAAATTATGCATTATTCAAGAACGGGAAGGGAGGGTGGTGGGGTGGGGGGTCGGCTGCCGGAGGAGCAGGAATGCAGGCTAATCAATAACGGTAATTAATAATGGGTTACATTTTGCTGGGCTCTGTGGGAAAACACACTCCCTTCCTCTCCTGTTTTGCATTCCATGCCTCGTCATTTGAAAGTCAAATGACTCCGGACGTCACTTTGGGCAATACAGATGTGCCTCCCTTAGCAGGACCCTATAAACGGTTCTGTTTAACAGTGAGAAAGCTATCGGGAACTGAAGCAAAATGAGTTCCTTGGCAGATGGATGACAGAGACAGAGAGAAAGAGAGAGACAGAAAGGGGTAGACACAGAGAAAGAGAGAGAGGGAGAGGGACAGACAGAGAGAGAGAGAGAGAGAGGCAGAGACAGACAGAGAGAGAGAGAGAGAGAGGCAGAGAGAGAGAGAGAGAGAGAGAGACAGAGGAAGAAAGGGACAGAGACAGAGAGAAAGAGAGACAGAGAGAGAGGGAGATGGAGACAAACAGAGATAGAGGGAGACAGAGAGAAAGAGAGACAGAGACAGAGAGAGAAAGGGACAGAGAGAGAGAGAGAGACGGGGGGAGGGGGAGGGGGAGGGAGAGGGAGAGGGAGAGGGAGAGGGAGAGAGAGAGAGAGAGAGAGAGAGAGAG